AGACGTTGAGTCTGGCCAGTGTGGCCGTGCGTGTTATGTAACATGCCAGTGCACGCACAGGGCAGAGGAGATGAAAAGATGCTTCTTCTTCTTATTTGTGAGGGGGAGGGAAAAACCCCTCTAACGTTATCGTTCTCGATTTAAATGAACTTGTGATGTTTTTAGGCATAAAAGCTGGGTTAGGTCTCAGATCAGCTGAGTTGCCATCAGCTTGAACTCTGAGGCACGACGGGGCAGCAGAGAGCGCAGATAAATCACTCACTCTCTTTGCAGATGTCAAAGCCAACAACAAGGCTGTTTTGAGTGACGGGAATTTAATTGAAACCTGTTCCAAGGGCTCAAAATGAGCTTTGATCAAGGCTCGCAGAACCATCGTTAAGTCCCACTGTGGAGCTAGTGGGCGTGACACCGGTCTGTGCCTCCGTACACCTTTCAGAAAACGTTTAATTAGCGGATGATTAAAGACTGTTCTGTCACTGAAGCTCTTGTGACAGGAAGAAATGGCTGCAGTATACGTTTTAATTGTGCTGAACGCTAGATTTCTGTCCATCAGCTGCTGCAGAAAGGACAGCTCGTCACCTAGTGGACATGAGATGGCCTCTACACCTTTCTCTGTACACCAGCGCTGAAAGGTTGTCCACTTTGATGTGTACAGCGCTGTGATGGAAGCAGCACCTGAGTCCTGAATTGTGCGAACCACTTCCTGGGAGAAGCCCATCTTCTCTAAGCGGATCCGCTCAGCGGCCAGACCCAAAGGTGCTGGCCTATTTCTGTGTGACTCCTGATAGCTCCTCCTTCCTGGAGGAGAGCATCCTCCCTCCACGGCAGTTTCCACGGTCGACCCGATAACAGACGTCGCAGGATTGGGAACCACGGGGTGCTCACGCGCTCGTGGGGCTACCAGAAAGGCTGACAGTTCTTTCTCCCGAACTCGGTTCAGAAACCATGATATTAGAGGGACTGGAGGAAATGCGTAAAGGAGCATTTTGGGCCACGGGCTGTGGGCAAAAGCGTCCACTCCTAACGGTGGGTCGTCCCATGGGCTCAGGGAGAACCATAGTTGACACTGGGCGTTCTCCCGTGTGGCAAACGGATCCACTGCTGCTCGGCCAAATTTCTCCCAAATCCGAGAATTCAGCTCGGGATGGAGGCTCCTGTCCCCGTTGCGCAGACCACCCCTGGACATTATGTCCGCTCCTCTGTTCAGGATGCCGGGGATGTACACTGCTCTGATGGAGAGCAGGTTTTTGTGTGCCCAACACAGCAGCTGCCTCGCAATGCATAAGATTTGGGCTGAGCGCACGCCCCCCTGCCGGTTTATGTAAGCTGCAGTCACCTTGTTGTCTGTGTGGATCAGAACATGTTGATTCTGCAGCAAGGGAGCAAAATGTTGAATCACATTCAAAACCGTGAGACATTCCAAAGCATTTATATGAGCTGATGTGTGAGGTGGCCACAGCGCCCCCACCGCCTGAGACAGGCACGTTTCTCTCCAGCCTGACAGGGACGTGTCTATGAAAACTGAGACGTGTGACGTAGGTCTGCTGATAGGAACTCCCTCTGACAGAGTGAGAGGATTTCTCCAGTACTTAAGGTCGGTTCCCACGAAGGGGGGCACAGAAATCATCCGCCTCTTCTGCCGTACCTGATCTATGCGCAGGCGAGCGAACCATCTCTGAAGGCGTCTCATGTGGAGTAAGCCTAGCGGAAACAAAGCGTGAGCTAACAACATCGTTCTTAACAGTTTAATGATGGGAACAGCTGTCACTACTCTGCCGGGTTTTACGCAGCAGAGCTGGTCTTTTAGAGCTTCGGCTCTCGTCTGTGATAAACGGGTCCTCATAGTGACTGAGTTTAACTCCACTCCCAGATAAACGATCATCTGGGCCGGGAGAACTAAACTCTTCTCCCAGTTTATGGCGAAACCCAAGTTTAACAGGTGTGACGCCAGTGTTTTGGTTTGCGCCGCTGCTTCCTGCCTTTATCGGGTCAGCAGCAACTGTTCGTCCAAGTATAACAGAATTCTCATCCCTGCTCTGTGTAGCGGCTGCAGAGCCGTCTCCACGCATTTTGAAAATGTGCGTGGTGCGAGGGAATAACCGAATGGGAGCCTGTTGTATTGGTACTGGGTCCCTTGGAAGGAGAAGCTCAGGAACTTTATGTGTTTTGGAATGATTAGAATGTGAAAATAGGCGTCTTTGAGATCGATGGAGGTAAACCAGTTGTTTTGGTGAATGCTGTCCAACAGCTGTCTGTTTGCCAGCATATGAAACTGTCTCTCCATGATTGACTTGTTGAATACGGATAAGTCCAAAATGAGTCTCATTCCTCTGGTCCTTTTCGGAACCAGAAAGTAACGTGAGTAAAACCCTGTCTTTTCCTCTCAGTTGGGAACCCTGGAAATTACATTTTATCAGTAATTCCTGAACTTCTGCGTGGAGGGACGAGATCTGTTCTGGAGATGACAGAACTGTCTCTATAATTCCTCTGAACGGTGGGGGTCGAGCTGCAAACTGCAGCGTGTAACCTCTGCTGATAAGACGGCTCATCCATCTGTCCAGGGAACACACTTGCTGCCACTCTGCGTAACACTCTGGGAGCGGGCACGCGTTTTTGTATTGTGTCATGTCTTTTATGGACGTCAGCCAAGTCAGGGCCCCACCGCCGTCATGTGCTGCAGAGACGTACGCCGAGCGACCCATGGGGAGGCCCCCCAGACAGGGCCCTGAGAGCACCTCTGTGCCGCGCTCAGTCTGCGGGCTCACATTAGAGTTGATGTGAGCTAACGTGCACTGAGGAGAGGCATGTACGCCTTCAGAAATGCAACGTTGTTTGGGTGGAGGTTGCAGCTGGCGTGGGGAAATGCGTTTGTCCCCGCTGCAGTCAGAAGAAGCAGAACTTGAGGTTCTGAACAGGGCTGAAAGTGAGGTTTTCTTCTGGGTTTTGCAGAGCGAGCTCTTTGTCTCCTCAGGCAGGTCTGAGGAGACCTTTTGGAGATGCTGTAGGCCAGCAGAGCAACATTGTTGTTCGCTGCGGCTGCCCGGAACGCACACTGGTGGGCTCGGTTGGAGAGCGACGTCATCGTCTGGTCGTGCCTCCCTGGAGGGACAGGATGCTGGTCCAACCTGGACACTTTTGCCCCGAGTGCTTCCGCCAGGCTTGGCTCCGGGTGGGAGGGGGATACCGAGAGAAAATTTCGCTCAGTAAACCCCTCCACTCTGGTGATGGGAGCGAAGGTGGAGACAGGTGGTCTCTGTTTATCAGGTCCAGCCGCAGCCTCGTTCCAGTAGGACATCACTGCTGGTAAACGAGGCCAGATGGGGTCAGGGCAAGCCAGGGTCGAGCCAAATCTTCCCACTAGATCATCAGATCTGGGCGGGGGGAGGAGAGGGACGGAAAGTGCCTTCATGACAGTCGCCTCCTGGATTATGCCGGGCAGCTCCGCGAGGAGGGCACCGACGGCTGGGAGCGGTGTGGTCACTGATGCGGAAAGACCCGGGGGTGTGAGCATCCACCCCCCCCCCCCCCCCGTTCCAACACTACGCTCTCTGGGAGGGAATGAGCAGCGAGGCTGCTGCTGACATCGCCTGTCCTGGAGGAACTATCCGATTCATTCCGAGACTTGGCGTCAAAAAAGGCGATGGCGTCGTCCAGCGAACAGTCCCCCGCCACGGAGCGGCACTCCTCGACATTAGCCTTAAACAAGGGCTGCTCGCCTCTGCCTCTCCTCAGGAGGGAGGAGGTCACAGAGACGGCAGGAGGAGGCGAGGTCGGCGTGGCGGGGACCCAGGCATCCTTCACAGGTGTCGTGCCGGTCGAAGCTCAGCATGTAGCCGGTCTTGCAGGACGGGCACAAGCAGATGGTGTTTGTGCCGGACATCGCGTTCTTGTGAAAATCAGTGCTGGTTGCTTGCTAAAGAAAAATTGGAGCCGATTACCCGCTCTCAACGTAATTTATACGGACCTGGTGAGGCCCACACAACAGGTGGGCGTGGACTAAAGTTTTCAGTGCTACGCTTTGCGTGACGGGATAAAACCCACTAGCGACAGTCTTAATGGGCGAAGCCTATACAAAATAGAACTCTCTGGACCTAGTAGTGGAATTTTCTTAATTCAAAATATATGATGGCAAAAGGACACTCTATGCTTTTTTTAGCAAGTTTTATACCAAAAACATATTGCGATATATATCATTATCGCCATCCTTCACAATACATATCGTGATATGAATTTTTTGCCTTATCGCACATTCCTACTAGCTAGTACTGCACGCATCTAAATAGCATTATGCCAGTACTGACCCGGGGGGTTGGCAGTTCAGTAGTTTGGCACGCTTGGTTCTGTTAACGGGGCGGAGCACCACGCTTGTATAATGGTAGGGGAAACACTGATATTACTTTTGACAATTCAGAGAGCTCAACAGGACCAAAACGGGACATGTGATTTGATATTTGTGTTATTAGCTTTCATTTGTAAATGACACATATTAGAAAATATTGTTCACAAAGTTATTCTGTATGTTTAACAGTGAATCTGATCTATAAATCTATTTGAAGTCCATGAAAAATTGTTAAAGAGATGTGTTTGCATTGGACACAAAGATGGTACATCTATAAATGCAACTTGTAGAAGTTTTTACTGGTTCAGTTTATTGTCTTTCCTGCTGGTGTGACATTTTTGTTTTAAACAAACGGAGTCATCAAGTAACAGGACCATGACATTTGATTTCAGTAAAACGTGACAGTTTCAATGGTTTTCTGTAAATGTTTGCAGAAAACCACAATTTAAAATATGCTTATGAATACACTTTTCATTAAAACTCAACAAAACAAATGTTTAATTTGCCTAACATGATTGTAATGTGCTGAGCCAGCAGAAAGGTCAGACTTCAGGAAATCTGAGATATTTTATGACGTGTAATGGACCTTTTACAGCTCAATTATCTTTTTTGTTACACGAGTACAGAACTTTAACAAACGATGAGTTTTCTTCTGGTTTCAGGACTAATGGATCCAGAGTGAGGTGCCATGGCTTTAATGATCCCCCCAGTGAAACTCAAATGGCTGGAGCACCTGAACAGCTCGTGGATCACGGAGGACAGCGAGTCCATCGCCACACGGGATGGCGTTTCAGTTCTCTACTCCAAGCTGTTGGCCAACAAAGAGGTGGTACTGCTCCCCCAGCAGGTGCTGTGTCTGAAGGGCCCCCAGCTTCCTGACTTTGAACGTGAGTCTCTCTCCAGCGATGAACAGGAGCACTACTTAGATGCTCTGCTCAGCAGCCAGCTGGCCTTGGCCAAGATGGTCTGCTCAGATTCCCCCTTTGCTGGCGCCCTGGGGAAACGTGTGCTGGTGCTCCAACGCATCTTCTACGCTCTTTCCAACAAGTACCACGACAAGGGCAAGGTCAAGCAGCAGCAGCACTCTCCGGAGAATAACTCGAGCTCGGCCGATTTACACTCTGTTAGCGAGCGCCCGCGCTCCAGCACTGATGCCCTCATTGAAATGGGTGTCCGCACTGGCCTCAGTCTTTTGTTTGCTCTGCTGCGCCAGAGCTGGATGTTGCCCCCTCCACCTGGGCCCGGTGGAAGTTTTGGAGGCAACATAAACTTATGTAATGATGTCATCCACACAGCTATTGATGTGGTGAGCTCCCTGCCTCCCCTCTCTCTGGCTAACGAGAGTAAGATCCCTGCCATGGGCCTGGACTGCCTGGCTCAGGTCACAACCTTCCTGAAAGGAATCACCATGCCGAATTCTGGGGCGGACATTTTAGGCCGCCGACTGGCCTCAGAGCTGCTGTTGGGGCTGGCGTCACAGCGAGGCTCCCTACGCTATTTGTTGGAGTGGATTGAGATGGCTCTGGCTGCATCTGCTGTGGTCAGTACCATGGAGCAGAACCAGGCACTGCAGGGCCATGAGGGGCTCATCAGCTACGACTGTTTCATAAACATCCTCATGCAGATGAGGCGCTCTTTGGTAAGTAATCATGTGAGCAGAAGATGAACAAGTTAGTTTTGTTAATGCCTGATAAAGCTTTTCATTTTTTGAGTAGAAGTAAACGTCTAAAACAGCTCAGGATTTATTTGTACCTAAAATGAAGAGTTTCAAAATGTACCAAAGTTTCTGTGTCAGAACCACCAAATGTTTCCACTGTACTGTTCTTCTGGTTTAATGCCTGAAAACAAGATAACAGACAGCATTTTTTTAAAGAAAATCACGAAACTGGTATTTTTGCTGAAGGTTATCACACGGTCCAAATCTTAAACCGGCTCATGTTTACTAAGACAGTTTATTTAACCATGTCTGTCAGTGGTGTCCAAACTTTTGACATGCAGGTCAAGATTGTCACATTGAAAGTACTTACGGGCAACAAACATTAGTATTTTTTTCTTAAAAACTACATGAATACTTTTTACATACACAACATGATGTGTCCCTGTGATGGACTTGCGACCTGTCCAGGGTGTCCCCCGCCTCTCGCAGTGATAGCTGGACATGGGCACCAGTGACCCCTGCGACCCGAAAAGGAAGAAGCGGATAAAAGATGATAGATGGATGGATATTTTAGCAGTGGAACAAAAGTATCCTAATTTTGGTGGAAAATGAGTTTATTTTGGAAGTCCCCAAACAAAAACAAATCTGGCATAAAATGTCTCCATTAAAAGAAATGAATTGAGTTTGTTTGATTTGTGGAGTTTATTCAATTCGATAGACCCTTTTCACATGACGTCAGACAACTGACGTTCTAACTCGATGTGCATCAGTACTTCCGGGTCTATTCTCCCTCGGGAGACCTGTCTGTAAATTTCACGGAGTTTCATTCATTCAGCCTTTATTTATAGAGATTAAATTACAAGATATAGCGCAAGGTAAGGCTAATAAAAACAGTATTTATGTGTTAGTTAGCTGTGGTAACGTTATCCATCATTATCAATTTACCATTCTGTAACTGTGTAAGGAAACAGCCTCTGATTGTAAAGTAAGCTAGCTAGCAGCTAACAGGTAGCTAAACTCTACACTGCTGCTGCTGTCAGTGCTGTAACATTAAAATGTTTAACTTTATCTATTAATGTAAAATCTCTGACATCTTCCAACATGTTTAGAATAGCTTTTTAAATATTGAATTAAAAACTAATGTCAAAGCATTTCCATGTTCTGATGATTAATAATTTCTCTTTTTACTTCCATCGTAAACTCACATGTAATTAAAAAATGGTCAGACACAACAGGACTTTCAGGAAATATTACTAAGTTATTAATCTAGCAGGTAGCTAGCTAAGGTAGGGTTAGACTCGGACTTTAAGTTTAATAAACAGATCAATTCTGTTCTACAAAAAAGCTTCTTTCAGCTAAGGCAGATAGCAAAGCTTAAGTCCGTTCTGTCCAGATCCGACCTTGAAAAACTAGTCCATGCATTTATTACTTCCCGGCTGGACTACTGTAACTCACTTTATGTTGGGGTTAGTCAGGCTTCACTTTCACGTCTCCAGCTCGTACAAAATGCTGCAGCTCGGCTTTTAACAGGAACTCACAGGTTTGAGCACATTACTCCGGTTCTGTCCTCCCTTCACTGGCTTCCTGTACGTGTCAGAGTTGATTTTAAAATTCTCCTGCTGACATTCAAGTGCATTAACGGCCTCGCACCATCATACCTCTCCGACCTTCTTCATCCTTATACTCCTTCTCGGGCTTTGAGATCATCAGACCAGCTGCTTTTGGCCGTACCAAAAACCAGCTGAAGTTCAGAGGAGATCGAGCGTTCTCAGTCGTGGGCCCTAAACTCTGGAACAATCTGCCCATCAACATTCAACAGGCCACCTCAGTCTCTGCTTTTAAATCTCTCCTAAAAACACATCTGTACTCACTGACACATCTGTACTCACTGACATTTAACACAGGGTGATCGGATTTAGATCTAGTTTTTCATTGATGCTGATTCTGTTTATGCTTTTGTTATTATTCCTATTTAACACAAGGTCATCAGATCTGATTTAGTATTTCATTGTTTCTAATTGTTTTTGGTTTTATGTTTTTATTCCATGTGCAGTAAATATATCTACAGTAGCTACTTTTTATTTGATGATGTGATATTTTTGTTAAGCACTTTGGTAACAGTTTCTGTTTTAAATGTGCTCTATAAATAAATCAGACTTGACTTGACTTAATCTCGATGCCATAGGTCCGAACCAGGTCAAGGGTGTGAAGATGAGTGTGTTCGAACGTTTTGGGTCAAACCAGTTGACTATTAAATTATTAAAGGCTTTGCTTGAGCTGTCACTTTCAACATCTACATGAATTTTGAAATCACCCATTCTGATGATTTTATCAGTATTTAGTAGTTAGTCGGTTAAGAAATCTTCTAATTCAGACAAAATCTGAGCATAGGAGCCTGGTGGACGATGTATAGCAACTAGTGAGAGTGGCCGTTACAATTTCCATTTAGGGTGGGATAGACTTAGAGACAGCCACTCAAAAGTAATTGATTGATTAATTAATTAATTAATTACTAACCACTAATTGTTTATTGTTTTTGTTTTCTTGTACATGGTCATGGAAAGGATGTTTTATTCTCAGGGACAGTAATACAACATAAGACGCATAAAGAAATAGCTAAAATGGGTTGTGTGGATCCTGGAAGGGAAAATGTTAGTTTGCATTTCAGATCTCACCCGAGGGCGTTATTTAAAAAATCTTCTGGATCCGCATGGCCAGGTAGACCACCCATCCATCGTAAAATCCTCCAGTCCAGGCCGAACCCTGGACTAAAGGCCGAAACAGTTTCATCAGTGCTTCTTCTGTCCTCTGAGATGCTTCTGGACTGGGATTGCTTTGGATCAGGTCATTTCATGTTTGTTTCAGTGTGTGCCAGCGTTGATGTGCATGTGTGTTTGTTTCAGGGCTCGTCAGCAGATCGCAGCCAGTGGAGAGAGCCCACTCAAACTCCTGACGGCCTCTGCTCTGTGTACGAAGCAGCACTCTGTTTGTTTGAGGAAGTAAGAAGTTAAAACTGCTTCTTTACTCCCTGCATTTCATCTTTATGAATATATGTGGTGCATAACTATCTTGTTCTTCCTCTGTGCATGTGTGTTCTTGTGTCCTTTCAGGTGTGTCGCATGGCGTCGGACTACTCTCGTACCTGCGTCAGTCCGGACAGCATTCAGACCGGGGAGGCACCTGTGGTGTCTGAAACCTGTGAGGTGTACGTGTGGGGCAGCAACAGCAGCCACCAGCTGGTGGAGGGCACCCAGGAAAAGATTCTGCAGCCCAAGCTGGCTGCCAGCTTCGCCGATGCACAAACAGTACGTGGAAACATTTGTAACAGGAAGTACAGAAACAACGTTGGTACCACTGGACAAGTTATTTCATTGTTTCTCTCATAGAAGGGTTGATTTTGGTCCTGATCAGATTCTGAATAATGTGTTAATGCAGTTTATGACTTATCTTTTATTATTTAATTTATTTATTTCATTCAAATCCCTTTAAAACAAAACACTGCGAGTCATTCAGATCATTGATTTTATCACCTGCTACCATTATGGTGTGTGTGTTTGTTTCAGGTTACGTTGTGGGGACCAAAGCCAGGTCCCCAAAAGGACAAGTCTTGTTGCGGGGTTAGGGTTAGGCATGTACCAGTACTAGTAATGACTACGTTTAGGGTAAAGGTCAGGGTTAGGCTGTAGAAAATAAATAGAAGTCAATGTGATAAATTCTGTGACTCTCATAGACTCTGTGATAAATTCAAGGAATGTTGCCTGTCTCTCAATCTAACCCAACTGATCAACTCTCCCACTAGATCAAACAAAAACCGTCCTGAAAAATCCTCCATCTTAGACCTATTTCTAACTGCCTCACAAATCCCCTGGTACAGGTGTATTCGCTGATATTTTGAGTGATCACTGTGTGACAGCTGCTTTGAGAGATATTAAACTTCCACCTTCTAAGCCCAGATTAATTAAAAAAAGGGATCTGAATCATTTTTGTGAACAGTCATTCCTCTTGGATCTGTCTCACTTTGACTGGCATCGTATTCTGTTAACTGATGACATGAACTCCGCTTGGAACTATTTTCATAATAGTTTCATTTATTTCCTGAACAAACATGCTCCTTTTCGTCAGTTCAGAATAAAGGGACGAGACAGCCCCTGGTTTACTCCAGAGCTAGCTGACCTCCTGCACAGGAGAGATCATCTTTGGGCCACAGTGAGAAAATCTGACTCAGACACTGATTGGTTGAGTTTTCGACAGATGAGGAATAAATGCACAACTGTTGTCAAAGCAGCAAAACAACTACTTCTTATCTCAGACCTCCAAAAATCTAAATGACCCTAACAGATTCTGGAAAACCATCAAATCTCTCTCAGGCACCCCCCAATCATCTGACCTCCCATCACAACTTCTCGTTAACTCTGTTCCTGTGTCAAATCAGCACGAGATCCTGAACTGTCTCAACAAACATTTTGTTGCTTCTGGTTCTTTATTTGACACAGTCACTAATGGAAAATCAGCCATTTCACTTAATAACCAAACTTCTACAAATCAAATCCCTCCTACAAGTCAATCCTCAGTTAATCACAGCTTCTCTTTTTCTCCATTCTCAGTCAGTGAGGTCAATAAACTGTTAAAAGATCTTGACTCTAAAAAATCTGCAGGTCCAGATGAACTTCCACCTTATTTCTTAAGGCTGGCTGCTCATATCATCACAGTCCCTGTGACCCACATCTTCAATCTCTCCATAAGACAAAACTCCATCCCAGACACTTGGAAAACAGCCTTTGTTCTTCCTTTGCTGAAGGGAGGAGACCCCACCTCACTGAACAACTATCGACCAATCTCTAAACTCTGCATTTTAGCCAAGGTTCTAGAAAAACTGATAAACTCTCAAATCAAAAATTACCTGGACTCATTTAACATCTTACCTCCACATCAATCTGGTTTCAGGAAACAACACAGCACAACCACTGCTTCACTGAAGGTTCTTAATGATGTTGTTGAAGCACTGGATGCTAAGGATTATTGTGCTGCACTTTTCTTAGACCTGTCTAAAGCTTTTGACACTGTGGATCAGAACATCTTGTGTCATAAACTCTCAGAAACTGGTTTCTCAGAACACACCATTGGTTGGTTCTCTAACTATCTTTCAGACTGGAGGCAATGTGTTCAACATAATGGTACTTCCTCCAGTTATTTAACAGTCAACAATGGTGTACCACAAGGCTCAGTTTTAGGACCCACCCTCTTTACAATCTACAGACATAATGTAGGTAAAAACATCCCTAATGCATCCATACATTTCTATGCTGATGACACAGTTGTTTATTGTCGAGCTAAAACTGTTGCTAAGGCTTTCCAGCTTTTGAAATCTGCATTTAACATCATCCAGACTGATTTGTTTCGCCTCAAACTTGTCTTAAATGCCGACAAAACCAAAGGGATGCTTTTTTCAAATAGTAAGTTGGTCCCAGCAGTTGTTCCTCCGATTTTATCCTCAAATGGTGTCCCCATTGAGTTTGTTGATTCCTATAAATATTTGGGTATCTTGGTCGACTCACATCTTTCTTTTAAGCTCCATGTGGAAAACTTGATAAAGAAACTGAAAGTTAAACTGGGTTTCTTTTTCAGAAACAGATCCTGTCTAACTCTGAATGCTAGAAAACACCTTGTATCTGTGACTTTCCTTTCCTCCATTGATTACGGTGACATTATTTACATGAACGCTCCTACAAGAACCCTGCAGATGTTGGATGCTGCAGATGTTGGATGCTGCAGATGTTGGATGCTGTCTATCATGGTGCACTAAGGTTCATAACTGGCTGTGATTATCGTACCCACCACTGCACCCAGTATTCACTGGTTAACTGGACATCATTAACTTCACGCAGACTCTCTCACTGGTACATTTTCATCTTTAAATCACTTCTTGGTCTGCTGCCTTCATACATCTCCTCCTACATGTCTCTGTGTGAGTGCAGCTACAGCGTGCGCTCTCAGGACATTATTACCTGCAGTGTTCCCTCAATGAGGACTGAACTAGGCAAAAGGACCTTCTCCTACTCCGCTCCTGTTTCCTGGAAAATCTTGTAAAAAGATCTGAAGCTCTCGACCTTTGACCTCTCTAAGTGTCTTTAAGAATCTGTTGGACTCCTGGCAGGGACCAATGCAGACATGTTCCTGTTGTTAGTTTTCTACATTTGTCTTAGAATCTAGCTGTTTTTTTTTTTTGTTACCTTTTCCTTTTAGCCCTCCTATTTTTTATTCCCCCCCCCCCCCCCGTAGTATGACTTTTTATAACTGTTTATTGTTGTTGCTGTTGTCCATTGTTGTCATCTTTCTTTGTTAAATCAGGTCTCTCTTGTAAAGGAGTCCTCGAGGCTCAATGGGATTTACCTGTATAAATACAGGTTGAATGAATGAAAAATGAAAAGGCCCCAAAAAGTGCGTTTACAAGAATGTGCGTGTGCGGTGTTATGTTGTTCGTCAGTTACCAATATATCTTTGAAACCACTATAGTCATTTAAATTTAACACGCTATCATTTCACTTCAGTTTATTTACATAGCGCCAAGTCACAACAGATGTCATCTCAGGTCACCGAACAGAAATGTTCAAATTAGGGCTGGGTGATATCTCGATATTTTTAAAATATTGATATAATTTAATTATCGATATGAATTGACATTATTTCGATATAAACTATATAGTTATAGTGAAAATCCGCTGGCTCGGCTGTCTTCTTTCTTTCCCCACACAGCCCCCTCCTCTCTCTGCTTCCTGCTTCTCTCCAGGTGGAGTGGCACGTAGCAGCCACAGAATGGAGAGAGAGCAAGTTGCAGAACTGGTGAGCAGAAAAAAAAAGTTCTGTTATTTGGAGATGGTTCGGGTTTAATTTGTAAAATGTGCAGCAGAAAAATGTTTTCTGTAGACGATGCCGAAAACAAGTCCTGACTCCCGACGAAAGGTTCGAGCACAACAAACCTTTTTCACCATTTAAAACAGCTCTATAAAGTGTAGTATGAAGAGTGTGTTAAACTTTGTGCTGTAGCTCCGGCTGTGAAGCGTCCTTCCCTGAGACAAACTACGGTACGAAACTCTTACCTGTGCTGTGCCTTATGAGAGGTGACGTGAATAAAACAGAGGCTAATCATATCACTAAAGACCAGTGTTGGGAATGTTACTTTTAAAAAGTAATTAATTATAGTTACTAGTTACTTCTCCCAAAAAGTAACTGAGTTAGTAACTGAATTACTCCCCTATAAAAGTAATTAGTTACCAGGGAAAGTAACTAAAGTAACTATTGTTTGTTTGTTTGTTTGAAGTTGAGATATATCTACGAATTTAAAGTAGAATTGCAAAGACAAGTACTTAACACAAAACTTTTAATACTTACTGCACCTCAACAGAACATGACTGGTTGACATACTATACTTCAAGTTTTTTCTTCATTACAAAAATACAGTTTAACAAAATAACATAACAATTGTGTTTTTAGCTTTATGTACACACTGTACTGTTCAAGTGTTTTCTTAGAAATAAAAGTAAACAGTTAAAATAAGTGTTTTAACTCTGTAGTGTAAAATAAAATCAAACCCTCACACAACTGGTTCTTCAAGTTTTTTTTTAAAAACAAAATAACCATTTTAACAATACGAAGTACTTTTAAAACAGTACTGAAAATCTGAATTACCTGAACAAACCCAACATTAGCTACTAAACTATCCATGCATAGATGGATTCATTTATCCACTCAGTCAACCCAGTCATCTGCTGACCATCTTACCCCTTAAACCAGTGATTGTATCTTAGAAGTAGAAGCCTTTCAAACTTCTGGTCAGAAAGTCTGTTCCTCTTTGGAGTGAAGACAAGCTTCCCTAAGCTAAACAGTCTTTCCACAGGGGCACTAGATGGAGTGGCTGCATTGTATTTGAGTGAAATTTTCTTTACAAGTGGAAATCCATTAAGACTGTCCATCCCTTGTGCTCCTGATTTGAAATAATCAGCAACTTGGCTTTCAGCAGTAGCAGAGGTGTCATCCTCATCCTCAAAGGAGAAGAACTCATCCTCCATGGCTGACTCAGTGCATGCTGGTGTGATGGTAGTACCTGTTCGCTGGTCTTCATTTTGAGCACTTTTCCGGCACTCTGCTAGCAGACTTGCCTTGGCCTTGTCCTTCCTGTCCTGCATCCGCAGCCAACATAGTTTAAACTTGGGCAGAGTCACAGCAGCCAAGACGGCATTCTCACTTTCCAGCACCTCTGCAAATCTTGTTTTGATAGCCTGCAATGATATACAAAGTAAATATTATA